GTGCGAAACTTTCAGCCAAGTTATGCGGGGCGAAGTTTTAACGAGAACTCCCACGATTCCGACGCCTATGGGACGCTCGGAAAAGTTAGCTTTTGACGCGGTAGGTAGCACGTGACGAATTCAAATCAGCCGTAAATACTTACGGCAAACATACCGCGACAAGTGAAGGGAAACTCACGTGTAAAATAAAACATTAGAAGGGCAACGAGATAGTTAGGAAGAATGTTATCGCGTTATCCCTCTCCTTCGTTCTCTCTTTCGCGTCCACGTTTATCTCTTTTCCCCTTTAGTCGACATCGCGAACTTCGTGTAAACTTGGACTACTTTGCCATCCAGTTTGGTAAACACAAATTGCTAGACGTTGACGCACGAACGAAAATCATTACGCGGCGGAAAAAGGATCGATTAATTTCCCTACGTGATATGTTCGACGAAAGGACGAGCACGGAACTATGGTCGTTCGCTAGGTTTTAGGCACCGTTAGCTTGCAAGTCGGATGGTTCCATCAAACTACAGAGAGTACACTAACTATAGGATTTTTAGTTTCCAACACGGTTCAAAGGGAGGAACGATCGATGCGCAACTCGCAGAGAATTCCCAGTGGTCCCAGGGCTCCTTCTGTGCACAGTTACCGGCTAAAAGCAACATAGCTGCCCCGGGAAAGTTTTCTTCATTTTTAACAACACCGAGAAACAGAAGAAACGCATTCGAAAGTTGGAAACGTCTTTGGCGCTTACTCGTGACTCTCGGCCAGTCTCAGGATTGGAAAAAAAAAATTTCTTAGTCAAAGAACCGTCCCTTCCTCGGTGGATAAACGATTTATCGATGCGTCCTTGTCGGGCGTAGTAACTCGAACGTAATGGCGAAAGATCCGAAAGCTTTCGAACGGTCGATGTACAATTTCGATGCTCGTTCGCCAGAGTTTCCTCGATTATCCGAACGACGATGTAAATTGCCTTTACATTACGCCGGAAATTTAGCCCCGCTGGCTCGCAAGTTTATCCAATATCGTTGAAGGAACGAGGGATTGAAGTTGCCAGGAGCTCGGTTACCGCACGGCTGAACGGCGCGCCTTGCAAGACTCGAAAATTGCCTTCGTTAGTTACCCGACCACTCTTTCGATGGCCCCCTTTAAAATAATAAGACTTGCAAAATTTGCCACGGTGCATGACCCGACCACGTTCCGCTTACATAATTCCTCAGAATCGTTCAATTTCAGCCAGTTCACATTGTTTCACGACAAATATTCTATTTTCTAGCTTTTACGCGAGATCCAGGAAAAAAAGACAGATGAACGTTTTTTCACTGCAATGTTGGATTGGATCGTCAGAATTTTATAAATGGGTACGTACATGCGAATCATGGTTTCAAAAGGGCCGAGAAGAATTATGGAGCGCCAAGGTTAAAACGCAAATATACTGACCCATTTGGTCCGTTTGGCGCGGTGCCAAGCGACGAGGTACGCGAGACCAGGTTAATTTTTAATTTACTCGCGAGAGAGGGACAATCCTGACAGATTAAATCGAGAAACTCGGCAGGATTTGTCGTGATTATTTTTACGATGGCCAAGTGTGGCTCAATGTACGGCAATTTCGATCGTTACAAGCTCAATTTTTCCATGCACAGAAAAGGAACAGGCTCCATTTTATGCCAATTTAATTTATTTCCACTCATGACGGTATTTCAATCGACGTTTGATAATCTTCGTGAAACGATTTCTATGTCGCGCAAAACCGTATCAAAGCGAAATCGAGTAGACTGACGTGAAACGTAAAGAAACACTAAAAAGGAATGAACACTTACCATGAACTATTAGACTGATAACAGCCTCCGGCATGCTGCGGCTGTTCACCAAGCAAGTGTACTCTCCGGTGTCCTGTGCGGTGACCGGATGGAACTGAAGCGCGTAGTTTTTCAACGACAACGACACCCTGTTCTGATGGTTCCATACGATGGTAGTGTTGCTGCTGTACTCAAGCAGCTGCATGCTGTTAACCCTCCATTCGAGCATCAGTATGAGAGAATTCTCTGTCACTCCTGGACAATTCAGCGTCACGTTTTTCCCAGCCTCGATGACCATCTCTCCCACCATGGAATCTGGAAACAGAGACATTGTTCGTCCATCACGTCGTGGCCGTTATCGCGAGAATAAAAAACAAAGAAAGCTAACTCTATCCGTGAACTGCGAGGATCTGCACGATCGGGCTGCGTCAGGACCATTTCGCCAGAGGTCAGATAAAACGAGCTTCCTTTCCACGCTTTCTACTCTGGACGATTGTTATGGCCGTGACCAGTCGTCTCGTGTCGTTTCAAAGTTTCAACATTTCGCGAGTTCGGCAGGTATATTGATGCGACACGGTTACGTTAACGAAGTTAAGCATGGACAATGGGTTTATGCCGCTCAAAGTAATATCACATCGCATTTCCTCGTGTAAATTAACGATGAGACGATATTTATATTTCCAGTATTTTCTATTTATTCGATTTATTTATTTATGTGAGAATCTCGTGGTACTCGAAATTTCTTAAGGATCTGAGATTGTTGTTTGAAATTTTGTAGAAGTTTGAGTGTTTGACGATGTGTACATACGATAAGTTTAGTTCTATTCTGATCGAATGACTATGGGATGCTGAAGATAGTTGTCCAGTTTTCCTATTGATTCACTTTTCCACCGATGAGTGCGTCTATGGGACGACAATAAGGGAAGAGAAAGTGCGTACCTAAGTATAGGTATTTTGCATTGACCGAGTATGATTTTTCCTGCACCCAGTTACCTAACTTGACTTTAAAACCACCCGACTTACAACTGTCAACCTACCATTAATTCAGACGTCACGAAACACACGATGCAAAGGTTCGACTGTTTAGATGTAACCATCTTGCAAATTTTCTCTTCCGAACAATTTGATTCTCCTTCGTTAGGACAGCAAGGCGCTACAGGACGCGTAACCAGCGACATTCGAGCAGATTAAATGCAACGAGACGGATCAAATGGCAACGACTGCACTTTCTTGAAACGGGCGCGGGCGCTAAGCGCGCTTCCGCTCGGTGTCTCTCGCGTTACGAAGCAATTTCGAGTCAAACTCCCTGGCAAAGAGTCCAATTAGCTCAACTGCTCCCTGTTTTCGGATAGTCCTTCCGACGCTGATTCTGTGCCGGTACGGAGCCCGCCAGATCTCGGAACAAAAGGGACACGCCGCGATTTGAATTTACGAGCTACGTGTTCGAATAGAGACAAGGTCAACGCTAATGCCAATCTTGCAACGACGTAGGCGGTAGGTTACACTAAACGATTGTATTCTTGATTCGAAATTGTACCTGGTTACGGATTTACCATGTTTAAGACGAATTACGGTGCCCTTCTATCTTGGACTTTCATTACTTCCTTTCATTGACTTACATTACTTCCACCATTCATTTTCGTTGATGACAGGCAAAAAGAGCAAATTCGATCGTAATAGCAGAATGGTGTACTGCGTTGCAAGATGATGACAAATTACGTAGTATAATGTTATTGCTGTACTGCGGATGTTTATGCAAATATGTAGGTAATTTCATGATCTCATAAAAAAGTAAGATTGCTTTAAAGACCTGTTCAGCTTTTTTAATTTTACAATAAGTAGTTTATTTAGGTCACTTTGTATGTTTACGTATATCAGCATTCTGTAGATTCTTGTACCTGCAAGTCTCTCATAAATGCACGAACGACTGTAATTTAATTATCATAGTCAAGGATACTAACCGATTTATAATCGCGAACGTCTATAGTCCTATCTTCCTTTGTTCGTAATTAACTACTTTTTCAGGTTCTCGATTGTCTTCTTTCAAGTTTGCTGCATTTCACGCAAAAAGTAATACAACGCTCTTCCTTGTTGCTACTTTCAACGACTTTCATTAATGTTCATCGGTGGCGTAGCAAGAGAAAACAATTTAATCATAGCAGAAAATAAATGAAAGGATAACGTCGATATACAACTGTCGATTCCTATCTCCCTTCCCTCGTGCAGTAACTCCTCTCCCTTAAACCCTCGAGTTTCGATAACGATCCAGCTAAACATCGGTTATCTTCGATCCAGTGTGCATACTTCGATTAACCATAGTAATCGCGGCGCGGCTACGGTCTATTATTTCTGCCCACTGTTTCCCTTGGCCCTAGTTACGCGGATTCCAACAAGAAGTCGATCAATTAACGCTGTCGGAACGGCAGTTTCCACATTTCTGAAATTTCGTCGTATGAAAGTCGTGTTCGTCGTAAGCAGAAAAGGGAACGACGAATTAAAACTCTTGCTTTTCCTCATTTTGGACCATCGTCACGAACCTCCGTCCTACGGCTTTCACATTTTTCACCGCCTTCGCCGTCCGACGAAATTTCTGCGCGGTTTTTTTCATTTTTCGCGAATGGCTCGCCACGATTTCGAGCCACGGTAGCTCCATTGAATCAGCAAGCGATTTTTCCAGCGTGCGAAAAAAAGAGAGAGAAGAGAGGAAAAAGAGAGAGGTAGCGAGGTAACGGAATAGTATCGAATTGACCGAGCGGCTAGGGGGATTGGTTCGATCGCGAAATCGCGTTCTTCAAAACCGAAAGGCCGTTATGACGTGATTCACGAAACGATTCCATCTCCAATCTTTGATAAACTGGACCGTGAGCGTGCGCTGTAGCGAGCATTCGGTTCACGCGTATTCATACGTGCATAAAGTGCAACTTAGCCCGTGTCGACTCTGTAAACCCATTTCTGGTTTGTGCCGCTGTTCGCCTCTTTGTCCAATTCTCACTCCGCAACTCTATTTCTGTCTCTGTTTCTTCGTCGTACGTTCGATACTCTACACACCACTGATCGTATGTAGTATCCGTTCAATCCTCTTTTCCAGTGACGCAGACCGATTTTCGCCGGCATAGCCAGCGATCAGAGACCGCCCAATGGTTCTGCGAATTTGGTTGAACTTTGACCATCCGACATTCTGCATCGATTCGTAGTTCTGACCGGAAGTTACGATGGAAATTACGTCGAAACGACTTTACTATAATTTCATCGGCTGCATTATAACTTTGCTACACCAATCAGCTTACTACCGCGTTTCTGCTAATCACTAAACGACCGGAATAGATCTTCCGGTTATTTCAAAGGACGATATCGAATTTCGCGTTCTTGTGATGCTCCGTAGAATTTAAAGAAAATGAGAATTCCGATTCTCAGTACTTCTGCTGTTGCTGATGCATACGTTGCGTTCTATCGTTATTACGGGCTTATCGGGTAACCGTATTTACGTATACACAGAGAAAGCTTTACTATGTACATGTGATATTTTTTCTTCTTTCTATGTTAATCCATACGCGTGTGTTTGCGAAAAGAATTTATTATTATAATCTACTTCCTCGGGATAGTAATTTTTCATATGTTTCGTATCAGTAAAATAAAACGAATTATTTAAATTTCTTACGGTTTAGAACGATTGTTAGTTGTCAATTTCGCTATATTCATTTACCCTTTAACGATTCCGCGCGTGCGTCTATGCCTTAGAATATATGTTAATATATGTTAAATAACGGGTCAAAAAATAATATTGAAAAGTTTCTAATCCTTTTCAAGCATCCAGCTCTAAATATGTATTTTCTCAGGAAATAAAAAATAAAAAGAATTATAAAGAATAAATCCGAGGAATACACCGCGTATATTCCGCTTTCTACTACTTGAATCAATCCGTGCTTCAACATCGACATCCAAGAGCTCTACGTCCTATACTTCTTCTTTCATTCGAAAACCAGTTTTTCCGACATACTTTGCACGAACATCCAGAGCTATTCGGCGCCCGTGCGGACAGCTTCGGCTTTGGGTTAAACGCGTTCCTTCTCTTCCCATCTATGACCAGTTTCCGTCTTTCAACGTTCCAGGCTTTTCGTCGATTCCAGGAGAGCTATGGGAACGTGCATCGGAGAAATGATGTCCGTCCGTGCAGCTGTTCCAAGTACTGGCCGATCAAGTGAGGGAAACGAGACGATAGGGATAAAGTGTCGTATGCAGCGTGCAAGAATATCGTCCGTGCTGGGACGAACGGAATTACAGGCGCTCGTGTCGCGCGTCCATACGGACCGATCGTAAAAACTAGGAACAATTGCAGCTGGCTACGAGAGTTCCATGATTCGCTGCAGGAAAGTGTATAAAGGAAGATGAAAACACAGATGTTTCTCGCCTGATTTGAAGTTCTAGAAATATTTACGCTGCTGTTTAAATATTTAAAAAAATAAACGTTCGATTAGGTCTCAGAAGTTTCGTCGCTTCTTTGCTAAAAGTTTGGTATAACATTCAATTACCGATATTTTCTCTGTAATTCTTCTTTACTTTTTAATGTCTATTTCTATGCGAAATTCACAAAATATACAGTGCAGCAAATATTCAGGACTTGGTATGCTGTCGCTACTTTTTCACCACTCTGTGAATTTACTCGAAATTTACTCTTATCAAAGATCAAATATTAACGAAGAAGGTCTGAAAACTAAAATTCCTTGAACTGAAAAAACGACACGTTTCATATGTATTATGAACTTTAAATTGCGTATATTTTTTTAACCAAAGAATTGTTAATATGGATGATACTCTCTATGCTGTACAGAGTATTATCTTTTTTCAATATTGAAACCGATATAATAACTATCCTGAAAGCATTTAGCTAGAATATAATCCCTTCTTTCTTCTCTCAAAAAGAAACGTTTTCTCGTTTAGCTCGATTAAAATATTTCAAATGCTGTATTCACTTTCTCACTACGCAATTATTCCAGATAGCAATTTCTTTCCATGCCCATATAAAAGATGTAGATCGCTCGCTGTACTGTGCTTAAGAAAAAGACGATCATTGCATACGTTAAAACGGTCGGATAAAATTTCTAGCTGGTTGGAGATCCGAAAGAAAGCGAATCACGCTAAATCCCTTTCCGAAGGAAGGAGTGCAGAGTCGGGCTTGACGTGCGTTTTCTTGTTTACTCCAAACCAAATTACGACGCGTAAAGGGATTTCCTTTAGTCGACGTGGTTCGCGAATAGCGAGGAAACGTTTGAAATTCAAGCGGTCGTGTCATAACCTTCCCTTAACTCGAAGCAGTT